GTAAGTAAATAAATATTTTATGTACTCTTCTATATGAATGATGATCTCTCATGATATAAAAATCTCACAGCCAGGTAGAGTGGCACATGTCTGTAGCTATTTGTGGAGCTGAGGCAAAGAGGATCAATCACCTGAGCCCAGCAATTTGGGGACAACCTAGGCAACATAGGGATACCTTATCACAAAAAAACTAAAGAGTGGAGGCATGGCTCAAGCAGTAGAGCACCTGCTTTGCAAGCATGAAGCCCTGAGTTCAAACCCCAGTTCTACACCCCTCCAAAAAACAAACAAAAAACAAAACATTGTACAGTTCAGATGTTCCTCAACTTATGATGAGGTTACAGCCTGATAAAACTTACCATAAGTTGAAATTTTGTTTTGGTTTGATTTTGGTGACAGGGTCTCACTATGTAGCCCATGTTGACCTGGAATTTTCTATGTAGCCCAGGCTGGCTTTGAACTCCTGCCTCAGCTTCTTAAATGCTGGTATCACAGGCATGTATTACCACATCCAGCTTGAAGGTGTTTTAAAGTTGATTTTTTTTTTTTGGCAACTTAGGGTCTCATGCTTGCTAGGCAGTTGTTCTACCATTTAATTTGCTCCCCCAGCCCAGTCCTGTTTTAAGTTAAAAATGCACTTAACCTCCCACCCAGCCTAGTTCAGCACCACAGTGCACTGCAGAGCATCAGTGGTTCACCTTCGTGATCTGGGGTGCCTGGGAGCCGCAGTGGTTGGCCCTACCTGGCATCACAAGAGAATCTTGGACCATATATTACTAGCCAGTGAAAAGATCAAAACTCACAATTCAAAGTACTTTATTTGAAGTTTCTACTAAATGCATAGCCCTTTCACGCCATTGTAAACTTGGAAAAATCATACACTGAACCATTGTAAGTCAGGAACTGATGGCATATCCAAACAGTGGACTGCTATACAGTCGTTAAGATGCACAAGACGGTTTTGTATGCACAGATGTGGAATTAATTTAGGATAAAAAAAACACCAGAAGTGCAATGTGTTTGGTGTGCTACTTTCTGTGTAAATTTTTTAAAAAAGAATGAATCTGTTTCCATGCATGTCTGCTTTAGATACTTCTCGATAGACACACAGGGGTCAGGTAACAGGTGGAGCATCTGTAGAGACGGAACTGGACAGTTGCTGATGTTTCTGTACCGTTTGAATAGTGTATCATGCATGTCTGTATTATCCAAAAAATAAAATAATCAAAAACTTCTTTTTTCTTCTCATTCCCTGGAGACCCCAAGATTTTCGGTCAAACCCAAAATCTCACCTGCTGGCTAGTGAGTCAGAAGCACATTCTGGCATGGTGATCTGGTGACCACTGGTGAAGGGGGGACCCTTTCTGAGCCCTATTTACTCTGCTGTGCAGGAAGGAAGCTAGGAATGTGCTGCTTTCTCTGAGGCCCCATCACCTGGCCACCAGCTGTCCCAACTCACTTCTCCTTTGTTCCTCTTCTATCCTCCCTTCCCTTTTGCCTTGTCCTGTTCTCTTCTCTTTCTTGCCTGAGTCTCTCACTGCCTGTTTCTCACTTCTCTCTGCTCTTTCCTCCGACCTATTTTCTTTCTTTTTCCCTTGCCAGCATCTCCTTCCTGTCCTTCCTGCTTTCTCCATGCCTTGGTTTCTCAGTGCTCCTTCTTCCTTCTTCCTTCTGTTCCTAGTCCTGCCCAAGGCACCCACAAGCTGTGTGAGTCTCCCCAGTCACCAGTCTTTCGTGCTTCAGTTTAATAGGCGGTTGTCTTGGTTGCATGAAGTCACAGGGCAGGAGCACCCAGCATGGTCCCAAGGCACTCAAACAGACATTTTTTTTCCTTTTTTTTTCAGTACTGGGGCTTGAACTCAGGGGCTACATCTTGAGCCACTCCACCAGCCCTTTTTTGTGAAGGGTTTTTTTTTTGAGACAGGGTCTTGTGAACTATTTCCCTGGGCTGGCTTCAAACCACAATCTTCCTGATTTCTGCCTTCTGAGTAGCTAGGATTACAGGCATGAGCCACTGGCACCCAGCTATTTTTTCCTTTTTAAGGCACTATTTATTAACCCTGGGGTTGTCAGTTATCTGACTGTCCCTGTCTCTCATGATGCTCCATGCCATATGGTGGGATTATGTCACAATAAACCCACTGAAATAGAAAAATAACATGTCAAAATGCATTTAATTCACTTACGTATGAAGCATCCTAGCCCAGCCACACAGCTCACTGTCTTAGTCATTTCCCATCATGATCGGGGCAGACGAGGAGCCTTCCTGTAAGACCTGTACGCCACTGCCACTGCTAGGTTCTACTCAGAGCTTCTTGGAATCTGGGCCTACTGTTCCCAAGGAGTTGAATATAGCAGGTCCCTGGGACAGGGGTGAAGAGGCCTGTGGTGGGCCTTGGGGGCAGAGGGAGTGGAAGAGAGTGGGTAGGAAGGTTTGCTGTGCTGCTCAGAGCACGGTGTGTTTATTTGTTTTTGTTTTGTTTTGTGGTACTGGGGACTGAACCTAAGTCCTTGTGTATGCTAGATAAATGCTTTACTTCTTGATCTATGCCCCAGTCCTTTTATTCATATGTTTTGTTTCTTTATTATTATTATTATTATTGTTGCTGTTATACTGGGGGTAAATTGTGACATTTATGAAAGTTCTTACTATTTATCATAGTTGAATTCACCCCCTCATATTTTTTGTTTTTGAGATAGGGTCTCACTAACTGCCCAGGGTGGACTTGAACTCAGGATCTTCCTGCCTCAGCCTCCCATGTAGCTGGGATTACAGGCACGTGCCACCAACTTGGCTCATTTCTAGAGAATTTTGGTCCTGGATGTCTTTCTCTGTCTCTGTCTGTCTCTGTCTCTCTCCTTCTGGGTTTTGACCCCAGTATCTTGTACAAGCTAAGCATTTGCTGTACCACAGCCTCTGGATCTTCCTTGTGGGCTGATTTACCCAGGCTTCTTGGACTTAGTCAGACCTGAGACAACAGAATCTCCTTCTTCCCCATTGGCCCCTTGGATCTTAGACTTTGGGGTCACAGAGAGGCTACCTAGTATCCTATACTCATGGGGAAGAACACCACACCCCCTGCTTATAGCCAGCAAAGGATCCACTATCTGCCCCATATACAATCTAGGCTTGGCATGGGAGGATCTGTGCCTTCCTGTCCTGCCTTGCTCCCAGTCACAAGGACAGTGGCTTGCTGTTCCCATGTCCTTTCCCGCCTCCTTGCTTTTTTTTCAGGCTACTCTCTTAAGCAGATATGCCCTTTCCTTTGCGTGTTGTCTCCGGGTTATCCTACCTGTAACCCTGAGCAAATTAATTGCTTCAGATGCACCTAGTACCTCCCTGCCTTGTGCTCCCCTCCACAAAAACCACACTGTCTGTTTACATGTCTAAGGCCAGTGAGCTCCTGGAGTTCTATGAAGACCTCATTCATGCTGTGCCTGGGCCTGTCTGGAAGACACTAAATAAAAAGTTAGTGATTAAATGAATGAATGAGTAGATAAAAAAGCACATAAACGAAACACACCAGACAATAATCCAAGACAATAATAAACAAATAAATGAAAGAACTAAATGAACACATCAAGCAGGGCCTGGTTCTCATGGAGCACACAATTCCATGCCCCACAATCTAGTCACCTGAAGCTTGGCCTTCTTGATGAGGAAGTGAGGAGCAAGAATGGAGCTGATGCCAAGGCAGACTGTTTCTCCCCTCTTCTCAGGGAGGGGCCTTGGTCAGGTTCCTAGGAGTAGTGAGGACTGTGGCCTGGCTCCTTTGGAGAGTCCCAAAACAACAGCAACAAAAAAAAATCCAGTGAAGATGTTAGTGAAGTTGACCTAATGAGCTAGGGACTGTGAATGCCTGGTCTTAGCTGGCCATGAAAAAACAGTGGAGAACCTGGGAATCAACTGGCAGGAAGGAGGAAGGCAAGTCTTAGTGGGGAGAGGATATAAAGCAAGAGACCAGATTTATTTACAGGGGAAGAAACTGAATTCTCAAGACATCCTTCACTGGTAACTCATGCCTACAATCCTAGTTACTCAGGAGGCAGAGATCAAGGTATAGTCCCTGAGTTTAAACCCCAGTACTGCAAAACAAACCCAACCAACCAAACAGAAAAAGCCCTTCATTAGCCGAGTAGACTCACCAGAGATCAATGGGACAAAAACTTTTACATCCCTCCATCCTCCACATCAGATCTCTGAAGGCAGGAAACTTGTACAATACATTTTTTTGTTTTCTCAGCGCTCAGCAGAGTCTGAAACTCAGTTATATTGGGAGGATGCATGGCTTCACGGATGGATGGATAGGTGGATGGGTGGATGGATAGATGGATGAGTGGATAGATGGATGGATAACTGGATGGATGAATGAATGGGTGGATGCATGGATAGATAGATGGGTGGATGAGTGGATGGGTAGACAGGAAGATGGTTGGATAAGTGGGTGAGCAGAGATAGGTTGACAGGCAAATGGATAGATAGATGGATGAGTAAGTGGATGAATGAGTAGATGGGTAGATAGGAGGATGGGTGGAAAAGAAGATGGTTGATAGGTGATGATAACATGGATGGATGGATGGGTGGACGGAATGTAGATGAGTGAATAGGTGAATGCGTGGATGGACCAATGGGTTGATGGATGTACGGGTGGATGAGTAGATGAGTGGATGTGAAAATGAACATATGTGTGGATGGGTAGATGGATGCATGGATGAATGAATGGCTAGATGGATGAGTGGATGAGTAGATTGATAGACTAATAGATGACCAGATTGATAGATGAATATACCGTGGATAAACAGATGAAAATAGGGACTGATGGACTGATATCAGGAGACTGGACTGATTTATGGATGTCTAGATTCTGGCTTGTGGCCATATAGATAAATGATAGGTAGGTGGATGAATTGACTGACAGATAAATGGACTAATAAATGGGTAGTTGGATAAACAGATAGATAAATGAATATATATATGGTTGACTTGATGACTAGATAATCAGAGAGATAGATAAGTGGGAAAATAGATGAATGGAAAAATTTCTAAACTAGGAAGACTAGCTTGATATCCACGCATTGGGAAGTGGTGGGGAAACAAATCTGGGCTTGGAACAGAGCTGCTAGGGATTTAGAAGCAGCTGTGGTGCTCAGGAAGCTGGGAGGAGAGGGTAAGAAGCAGGACTCTCCCCTGGTAGAGGGGAAGCCCATGTGAAGGGACAGAGAAAAAGAACAAAACAGCACTAGGCTGAAGACCCTACCCTGAACCCAACCCCAGCCTAGGTAGAACCTAGCAGGGGACGTAGGGCCTACAGAAGAGCCAGGCCCGGTAGCCTTGGGATCTGAACCCTCAGCCAGTCATGCTTACCCTAGAAAGTAGATTTCCCAAGAGGCCACCACTCTGAGCTCATGGAGGTGACTGTTGGCCACATGGGGGTCTCGGAAGAAGTAGGTGTGGTTGAGCTAGGGGCTAGAGAGCCTTGGCAGGGCCCAGGGTATGGGACAGCAGAGGCCTCCTGGTGATAGAACTCCCTTTTTTCCCTCCCAGCCTCAGCTTCCTCTGGGCAGGGGCCTGGCCCCCATGGCCTCCCAGGCCAGCCCCTTGAGCACCACCTGCCCCAGCCGGCCAGAGACTTCCTGTAGCGCAAGAGATTTATGCAAACGGGCTGGGGCGGTGATGTCACCCCAAGGGGACTATCTCCCAGCGGCAGGCCCTTCGATAAAATCAGGAACTTGCGCTGGCCCTGCAATGTCAAGGGAGGGGGCTCAACCAGGGCTCCTGTAGCTCAGGGGGCAGGCCTGAGCCCTGCGTCCGCCCCACGACTGTCCAGCCCCTCGACGGGGCACCCCGTCCTGAGGGGCTCCGCACTGGCCCCCACCGAGGCAGGGGATCTGACTGGCTTGGAGTTCGGCTGGATGTTACAGGCGTGCAAAATGGAAGGGTTTCCCCTCGTCCCCCCTGTGAGTACTGGGGCTCCTCCACTAGCCCAACCTGGGCCCTGGGAAGCCTGCCCGGCTGCCCACTAACCCGCCAGCCAACCCTCTGTCCTCGGGCTTGCTATCAGTGGGAAGTTGGTGTTTCCTTCTGGAGCTCCTGGCCTGAGACCCAGCGAGGGGCCATTGGTTTCCTCAGAGCATGCCCTGGCTGGCTGAGGGCTGAAGGCTGGGCCCATGGTGCCGCTGTGATCGGTGGGGCCTGAACAGTTATTTATAGATGGGCTAGGGTGGCAGCCTGAGCTCCAGGGCAAGGGTGCTGGGCTGAGGATGGTGAGACAGCAGTGAGAAGTACCAGAGGAGAAGATGGGGAGTCTGGCTTAGGGGGAGCCAGTCTCCAGGACTGGAAGAGTTGAGCACAGAGGAAACAGGCAGAGCTCCCAACCCTTGGCCTGGGGGCTCCTGGAGACAGAGGCTGATAGAACTCTGGGTCCCCATTGGGTTCCCAACTTCCAGACTGAGGCATGAAACAGAGGAATGGCTGTTGACCCAAGTTTCTGGGCCTTGGGCCAGGGCCAGGTCCCTCAGAGACTGGGATGGGGTTCAGGCTAGGCAGGATCCAGGTGTGCAGCAGAGACATGGCAGTTAGGTTTGGGACCAGGGCTGAGTTCAGGCAGAGGCTAGGCAGAGGATGGAGCTGGGAATGGGCTGGGACAAAGATTGGGGCTGGTGTAGGACCTGGGTTGAATATCAGATTTGAGTTAGAGTGGGACAGACAGAGAGACTGAGTCTGGGGTAAAAATGCAGGAGTCCCAGGGGACCCCCAAGAAAGGCAGGGCAGCAGGCGGGGCCCATCTCTTCTGTTATCAGTGACAGTTGCAGCTGTAGGCAGGTGTCAGACCAGGGTCCCTTGGAGAGGACCCTTCTGCCTTCTCTCACTCCATGTTCTCTTTGGGGTGGGGAGGCATGGTGGGGAGCCAGAAAGGCTTGGCAGGGCCTGTCCACCTGACTCAGCTTTCCCGGCTGGAGACAGCTCCCCTCTCTGCCCTATCCATTCTTAGATCAGAGCCCTGGGAGGCACCCCAGACCTGACATCACGGCCGACATCCTGTGGCAGGCCAGGCCATACTGCCTGGAAACATGGGGGACAGGCTCAGGGTGTACCCCATCCTGACTCCTTCCCCCTACCAGTAGCAAGAAGCAGATAAAGTGATAGACATTGTCCCAGCAAGAGCCTTCTCTGCCTCAAGAAAGCCAGAGGCCTAGGGGCTTCCCCACACATCTCTGGGTCTAGACCTCTCAGTCATGAACACCAGACAGAGCTGGGCAGGGGACAGATCTTCTTGGGTTACCACCTCTAGACCATCAGCCCTCTCTCCAGCTCCAGGTGCCACTCTGAGTGTCTCCTGTGAGGGTGGGCTCCCAAGGCAGCCCTGAAGGCCACAGTGACTGTTGTGCAATCCTTGGGCACATTGCGGGGGTGGGGAGAGAACTGATGACTGTTGGGAAGGACTCTGGGTGTGCATGTCCCTGAGCCCAAGCCACTGAGTGAGGGTGGAGGGAGGTGGACAGGGAGGAGGCAGGAGGAGGAGTGAAAAGGAGGGAGGGGGAGGAGGGAGGAGGAAGTTAGAGAGGAGGAGGACTAGGAGGCAGGAGGAGGTAGAAGAGGAGAAGGAGTGAAAAGAAGGACGGGGAGAAGAAAGAGGAGGGGAGAGGAAGGAAGAAGAAGGAGCAGGGAATATTCCATGGGGGAGTTGAAAGGAGGAGGGAGAGTGAGGGATCAAGGCCCTCTGTTCCTTGGCCCCCAAAGCATACCTGGGTAATCTCTGTACAAACCATTAGCGTGACAGTCATTGTGGTGTGGCAAAACACAGGCTGTGAGGGAGAGTGGGGGTTGGCTGGGCTGGCTGTGGCAGGAGGATGCAAGTGTGCTGTGCTGGAATGGGGGTGTCTCTGGGAGGGCTGTGGGTGTGAACGTGTCAGTGACTGGAATGCAATGTGTGCATGTGTGTGTCAACCCATCTGACTTTGCACACAGGGGTGAGTGTACAATACTGTGTGTGTGTGTAAGTGTGATGGCCCTTAGAGTGGGTGTAAAGATGGGTATGGAGTATAGGTTTATGACAGTGTGATTGTGCACGTGTGTGGCTGTGAAAGTATGAGTGGACATGTCGTGTGAGTTCAAGTGTGGGGTTTGGGTAGGAGTGTGGCACAAGGAGTATGTGTGCATTTGAGAGAAAGGGTGCATTGGTGTGAATGTGAGAGTGTCTGGTGTGAGTGTATGAGAAGGCCGTGAGGGCTGTGAGGAGTAGCACAACAGAGGAAGGGGCTGTGCCCTCCTCTCAGCCCTAGTCTTTTCACCTCTGACCTCCATGCACTGTTACTGCCTTTTACCTCTCCTGGGGCCCTGCCTGTGGTCCTGACCTCTTACATTCCAAGCAGAGGGAAGGTTGCAGGCCAACACACTGTTCAGTCAGGGAGGGTGGTATGGACCCACACACTGGGGGACTGAAAACTAGGTTGGAGTCTTCCCAACAGTCCAGGCCCTGACACTCTTCTCTCTCAGCAGCCAACAGAAGACCTGGTTCCCTATGACACAGATCTGTACCAACGCCAGACACATGAATACTACCCCTATCTCAGCAGCGATGGAGAAAGTCATAGTGGTGAGTACAGGGCCTCCATCCCCTCTTCTTGGCCTGGCTTGGATGCTGAACACCTCCTGGGGCTGGAGAGGGAGAAAGAAGAACTGGGCTCCCAGGCTTTGGAATTCTGAGGATCAGATGGAGTCAGTGCTTGGGGAAGTGAGTTTCTTGTCCCTACATCCTCGCCACCACCTTCCCCTGTTACTGAACATCTTCTGTGTGCCAAGGGAGAGATTAGTTTCTTCCACATTCACCTTGTCCAGTCTTCAAGGACATACTTATAAATGAGGACACTGAGGCTGAAGGAGTTAAGTGATCTGCACAAGGCCTCATGGCTGGTTGGGGAAATCCAGATTTGTCTATCCCATATCCAGGGCTTTTCCTTGACCTATTTACTTGCAACCCACTCCTCCAGCCCCCCTTCTTCTCTGTTGTCACTCCCTTTATCCAGAACTCCTCCTGGTGCACACCCACTCCCTGCCATGTGTGGCTAACAGTGTCTCTCTATTGCAGAACTACTGATATTTTGGGTTGGATAATTTCACAGTGTGGGGGCCACTCTGTGCGTATGATAGGAGAATTAGTAGTATCCTCAGCCTCTTCCACTAGCTGCCAGCAGTGCCACCAATAGTGACAACCAAAATCTCTCCAAGTATTACTACCTTGCCCTGGGGTGGTAAAATGCCCCTCAGTTGAGAACTGCTGGGTTAAGTGAAAGCCTCCAAAGACCTTGGTTCAGCCAAGGCACCCAGTTGGCTGGGGGCGGAGTGGGAAGAAGCCTGGCCCAGGAGTCTTTCTGTCTGGGTCTAACTGTCCACACCAAGGCTCAGTTCAGAGGAGAGGACAGGCCATCTGTGCCTGGAGCCTAGGAAAGGACTGGGACAGGTCACCTGAAGTTGATCTTGCATGTTGATCTGGGTATCTTTGAACAAACGTTGAGGTGGACCAGGTAAGGGACTAGTTCTTGCTGGGGGATTTTTCAGGGGATCTGAGCCCAGAGACAGGGGGTATCTGCAGCCCCACAGGGCAGAGGCACACTGAGTGCCATAGCTGAGGAAGACTTCACACTTGACAGCCACACCAGGGATGCCATGTGGCAAGTCCCATATTTAAGGCTCTTGCTTTTGGATGCCAAACCATGAGAACGGTTTCACCTGGAACTCATACCTGGCACCCATTATAGAGACTATGCCTGGAAGTGAATGCAAAGGGGACAGGTGGTAGATTGACATCAAGGCCACATCTGGGAACTCTGAGGCTTCTTTCAGAATCCCAGGGCTTAGAAAGGCTTGAAAATGTTCTCTTTTGATCCTTTAAGCTTATTTCTAATTATATAAGAAATTCATCTTTTCTGTGAAAACACCAGAGAATACCAGAGACCTGAACACACCCACCTTTTCAGCAGTCAGTTCCAAGCCGTGAGGCCACTCAGGGCTTGAGGAGGGCGCCCCCTGGTGGTTCAATCTCAGCAGCTGGGCCCCCTTCTTGGGGTTGCTTGCTCCTTGGCCCAATCCTGCTTGCAATTCGCTGGGTTTAGGGGCATTTCCTTTGGGTCTTCCACAGCCTCATTTTTCCTTTTTGAACTTGAGGGTGCTGTGTACACAGCTAGAAACTAGCTAGGCCTGGGGCTAGGCCGATGGAGTGAGTGTTTTACAGAAAGCCTGGCTTTCCCTGGCTCAGGAACCAGATGGGTTCCTTGTATTTGGGATGGGGCTGTAGGATAACTCCTGGTTGGACACGTGGGCACTACACTTTGGGCACGAGCCCCCAGTTTCTCCAAAGACTCCCCCAGTGTTCCCTGCCTTCTCACCTCCCTTTTCACCATCATTATTGCCAATCTGGGTCTCTGTATTGTCCCTTCCTAACACCTGCTGGAAGATACTGCCTAAAGGCACAAGGAAGGAGACCATCCCTCCTCCCCCCATCCACTGATTTCTGCCTACCCATATTTTTAGGTAGTAATTCTTAGTGAAAAGGTTTTGGGGTGTGTCTGGGTGCAGTTCTGGCTCCATTTATTCATCAGCCGTGTAGTGCTGGGGAAAGTAACTTAACCTCTCTGAGTCCCTGTTTCCTCATCTGTAAAACTGAGAATACAAAACTACTTCACAGATTTGTGACGGTAATATGCGTGATCTGCGAGGTCATGTACATGAATGAGGTCTCATTCCTGAGACAAGACGCAGGAAACTCTCAGCATGTGCTATGTTGACTTTACTGCAGCCCCCAAGCAAGGAAGGAGGAAACAATGAGGGGAGTGGGAGAAACACAGAGGGTTCTGTGAGTCATTGTCCACTGACCTGTGTGACAGCCAACCAGCTGTCCCTCATCAGTTTACCTACACATCCATCCACTTACCCTTCTACCCACCCATTCATTCACCCACACATTCATCTACCCACCTATCCATCCATGACCCATGCATCCATCCGCTGACCCATCCACCTACTCACTCTTCCATCTACTCACCCACCCATCTATTCAATCATCCATCCATTCTCCTACTTTTCCATTCATGTACTCACCCTCCCATCTACTCACCTTCCATCTGCTCATCCATTCACTCACTCTTTCATTTCCCACCCACCCATCCATCCACTCACCCATCCATCCTCCCATCCATCCATCCACTCTTCCAAACATCCACCTACCTATCCATCCACCCACCTATCCATCCTTCCTTCCAATATACTCTCCCCTCCATCCTTCATTGGTCCATCTATCAAAGAGTTTCTGATTATGTGCCATGTACCACACACTGTTGTAGGCACCCAAGAGTCCATGATGAACAAATCAGACAAGGCACTGCTCTCCTGGAGCTTATATTCCAGTGAGGAGAGAGTAAACAACCAGTAAGTAGACATGTAATCATAAGTCCTACGAAACACAGTGTGTAATGCAGGGTTTGTTTGTGTGCCACACTCACGAGTGAGTGGTCAGGAGGTGGATGTGCAGGTAGAGTTGAAATCTGAGTGGAGAGGAGGGAACAGTACATGGGAAGGTAGGTAGAGGAGGGGTTCAAGAACAGGCAGCAGCAAGTGCAAAAGCAGGAGATTCCAGCAGAGGACCAGCGGCTACTGAACACTGGGTTGTGGAGATAAAATGAAGCCAGAGGGGCAGTGGGGACAGATCACAAAAGGCATGAAGACCATGAGGGAGTGTGGATTTTATCCTATAGAAAATTTTTGGTTTTGTTTGCAGTGCTGGGGCTAAAAACTAGTGCCTCATATATGCTAGGCAAGCACTCTTTACCCAAAGGTACATTGCCAAGTGTACTGGAGAGTGTTAAGTGAAGAAATGGAATAAGCAGAAAAGTGTGTGTGTGTGTGTGTGCTTATGCAAGTGTGTGTGATGAAAATTTAAGTACATTTTAAATCTTTTAAAATGTTATTTATCAAAATAACAAATAGTTATTGCCAAAACTTAAGACATACATAGCATATCAAGAAAAACATTCCTCTCTCCCCTCTTCCTCCCCACTGACAGTAATATCTATCCTTGCAGACATTTTACTCTGCGTCTATTAACCTGTGTGTTTGTAAATAAATACAAACACACATGCATACTCAAAATGGAATTGCCATAGCATGTAATTTTGCCGGGTTTTGTATTTTGCGTGTTTTTGCAGTACTGGGGTTTGAATCCAGGGCCTTGAGATTGCTAGGCAGGTGCTCTACCATTTGAACCACACCTCCAGCCCTTTGTACTCTAGTTTTTTGAGATAGGGTCTCTCTTTATGCCCAGGTTGGCCTGGACCACAGTCCTCCTATACATGCTTCCTGCATAGCTGAGATGACAGGCGTGCCTATCAGGTCCAGGTTTATTGGTTGAGATGGGAGTTTCAAGAACTTTTGCCCAGGCTGGCCTTAAACCTCAATCCTCCTGACCTCTGCCTCCCAAATAGCACAGGCATGAGCCTTCAAATCCCTCATGCAACTTGCTATTCCTTACTTAAATCTCTCATGGACATTCTTCCATGACACACATAGCATACATAGCATGTCAGGGAGATCAAGCTGTTTCACTAACAGAGAGAAGCCTTTCTATTGCAGAGCTATGAAAATGTGCAAATGAATATTCGAAACATTATTCATTCACAAGTGTTGGTTTTTACTGAGGGCTTTCCAGGGGCTGAGTGGAGATAAACCAGCTTGATTTTCAAGTTTGAGACAGTATCTATTCAGTTGTGCTGTGAAAGAGGAGAATTTGACTCCAGCTAGTCACATCTGTCCACAGGTACATGGTAACTTTTGTTACAGCAGTACTGGATTTTCCAGTTACGACCACCTGACCATCACTCTCACCTGAGCCACACAGTGTCCTTGGCTATCTGAACTTTCTCATCCCAGCCCATTCCCAATTGCAATCTGGGGTGACCATGGGCAAGAGAGTCCGCCCCTCTGTGCCTTAACTTCTTTGTAATGATGCTGCTTCACAGGACTGTGGTAAGACTGAGTGAGTTACTTGCACATGGTGCATGTAGTAAAGAGCGACTGCACAGAACGACTTGCTATTATCATTACAGTCCCCCAAGCAAGGACATGTGAAGGTAGGATAGTTTGTATTTTATCTCCTGTCTTTATTCCGTGCTGTCACTTGATAAATAGTGTTTTGGCTGTGTACGGAATTCAGGTTGAAAATTTGGAAGCATTTCTCTATTGTCTTCTGGTTGCTAGAGTTTTTCTTATGAAGTTTGATGCTTTCCATTTTCTCTTTTTGTGTAGCCCTGTTTTTGTTTTCATTGCTTATTTTTTCTGTTTTGTCTCTGGAAGGTTTTTTTTTTGTTGTTCATTTTTGATTTTTTGAGCCTTGCCGTGCAGCCCAAGCTAGCCCTGAACTCATTTTGAAACCAACCTAGGCTGGTTTCAGACTCAAACTCACAATTCTCCTGCCTCAGCTTGGGATTACACATGTGTAACACTATACCTGGCTGAATAAACTGTTTTTTTTTTTTTTTTGGTAGTACTGGGGTTTGAACTCAGGGTCTCTCACTTCCTAGGCATGAACTCTACTACTTGAGTCAC